GTTAGGACAACATTTTATATTTCTGAATGAATAGCTTTTGTGGTTTCTCACACTTCAGCTCACATGCTCTGGGACAGCAGCTTTATCACAGGCTGAGAGGAACATTTTTGTGGCTGTCCTTTATTAAAAAACGTAGCAACACTTTCTCCGGCACATGGGCTAAATTGCCTCGCTGGCCAGACGTCTCTGTCTTTCTAGTTCCCCACCTCTTGGGGGTTTGGGAGGGAGAGTCGAGCTAACAAATTCCATGCATTCCCAGCTCTTGGAAAGTTTCTTTCTGGGAACCAAGGTCTTATTCTTAGAAAGTCTGTGTCTTTCCCCAGGTCTGAGAAAAACATTGCTAAACTGCAGCCCTCCAACCCTCTGTTCCTTAGGATTGACTTGGAGCATTTCAACCATGTGTTTCTGACTTGGCCACTAAAGCTTTGTCAGCTCCTTTATGCAGCGCTTGAGGTCTTCAGAAATGACAAGTTAAAGCCCTTACTGCAGAGAAATGTAGTCTGCATGCAATTGTTCTCCCTTGGAGTAGAGCCTTTAATAGCCAGGGATTTAGGCTGTTGGAAATGCATGCAACCTGGCACGCTAGAAATTGAAACAACACGCTTTTTTCAATTATTTTTATGAATCCAATAGCAAGGTCACCCCTAAAAGTACTGGGTCCTCGATATCTGAATTTAAAAAATTAACTCCAGAGCAACAGGAGAAACTCTTCTCCCCCCTCCCCACCCACTTCAAATCAAACATTGATCAAATCTATTTGGGTTTTTTTAGTGGTGATGATTATGCCTGAGCAGAAAACAACTCTAGGGTCATGTTGACCTGTCAGCACTTCAAGGGCTTATTACAGTTGGAAAAGTATTTCCTGATGGGTTTTCTCAATTTAGTTGGGCTTGCTGAGCCAATGGACAAGTCATTCAGTTCCTAGTTGAACTGTCCAACAAGAAAGTAAAGGGCCATTTAGGGATATGCATCCACTGGGATGGGAACTGAACTGAGGGTACAATCCCTAAATCTGAGTTCAGAAATCTGGTAAACAGGAAGACATGGAAAAATATTCAGGGGAGGAGGAAGAAGAAATTGAAGTCAGGAAAAAGCTACACACTCCATAGAGATTCAAGGAGGGAAGAAATAGCATGGAAAACAAGTCACTTGACACTTTTCTAGCACAATTTCCATCTCAGAGGGTTTTCTCCTTCTGATAAAACCTCCCAGAAAGCTGCAAAGGCAGGGAAGGGATGCCTACAGGCATGCACACTGACTACTGTCACAGGTCCATCCTTGGAGGTATTTAAGACCCAGGTAGACAAAGCCTTGTCTGGGATGATGTAGTTGGGGCTGGTCCTGCTTGGAGCAGGGGGTTGGACTAGACGTGACCTCCTGAGGTCCCTTCGACCCTCATTTTTTATGATTCAATTAAATGCTTTTTCCCAAGAAGCCTGCTTCCTCATGTGGTCTCATAACATTGTTTAACCAGCCATTATAGCATTGAAGATTTTTGTTAAAAAAGCACCTACCGAGTCTTTTTCTGCATGCAGACACACAAGGCATTTGCTCCAGTGTAATGTTCTGAAAAGACTAATTTTCTATGCTTCTAGGTCAGCCTTTCATCGGGTGTCAGCCAGGCTATAATCAGAGGTGATGGAGCTCCAATATTTATTCCAGATGAGGACCTGGCCTACGAGTCCTCAGTGTCCAGCAACAGAGATCAGCACTTCTAAAACAAAAGTCGGTAAGTTTGGACAAAACATGGGAGGAAAAAGTGAATTCACGTAATTGTGGGAGAGGAAGATACACTGAAGAAAGATGATTGCCTACTTAGTATTTCATGAGGATAACAGTGTTAATGCCCTGCTCAGACAGTAAGTGCTGTGGGATTTTTATATGGGTCCTCAGGTCTATATCTCATCTGCAACCTCATGCTCCTAGGAGCAACAGGAAGAGTGTCATCTACTAAACTAGATCCAGTCGAGCTCCGTCTATCCACTGCCGTGCACCTTGTCTGCTCATTTCCACCTCCGGAAAACCAAACGTTATCCATCCAAGCTCAAGTCATTAATGTCGCTCAGGCAACTTCCAGCACGGCGCATTATTAAATTGAGGAGATCATTGCCATCTTACCACACCTTCCACCCTTTGTGTAGGCATGTCTTTCCTCATCGACAGTCACGTCATCCCTTTTGCAAGTGGCTCAGCAACCGCGGAGCAGATGAAGAATGCAGCATCTGTGCTGAGGTCAACATCTGGATGGACTTAGATTGCACAAAGGGACTTAGTGAGTCATTGGCATGTGTGAGGACTGTCATCTCCTCTGAATAGTTTAATCTCAAACAACCAGAGCAAGGTTCATTGAATGCTCTGATTCGATGAGCCCATCGTAGCAAGGGTTAGGCTTTGGGGATATTAATAGGGTGAGAGCGAGATGAAAAGGAAGACAAGTGACCGAGCAGTTCCAAAACACCAATATCATTCCCACCCTGCTGGGAGCCACAAAACCAAGGAGGATGAAAACTAGCCAGCTTTCGAGGCCAAACCACCACCTGCACGCTGACACCTTTGGAGATCCCATCAGTCATGTCACAGGTTGTTGAGGGACTTTGATAAGGCTTCAAAGGGTGTATCCCCTTCTCCCTAAAGCAAGAGAGGCAGAAACAGTGTGTCGTGGACCAAATCAAGAATCCAGAGCCACCCACCCGGCACGGAGACAGCCACCCAAGTTGCATGGGAGTCTGTCGATCCCAAACAGGCAGAGCATAGTTTATCTACCAAGAGTCTTCCAGACTAATGGTCCTGGAAGTAACATCTTCCACTTCGTGTTCAAGACACTTTTCTTCTGCCCCATGTGCATGGAAAGGGGGATTTCTTGGGTTAAGGTAACACACTCGACCCTCAGTTATCACTGTTACCCCACTGAGGATGCATATGCAGTATTTGCAGCATTAGGCTGGGGGTCTGGGGAGACCTCCCAGCTGCTCCTAGAGGAACAAGTGGCTGTAGAGCCCAACCCCGGTGATATTGCACTACACCTTTGAGGCCTTCCTTGAGTTTACTCTCTTCATTTTGCAAAGATCTCCCCCTCCTTGCCTCACACTGAATGGCCTAAGATCTGCTGTATCCCCGGTATATCAACAAGCCCATCTATTCTGACAGATGCTGGAGGAAAGCAGGTGATCCTGGGGCCTGGGGAAGGATTTTGTGGGGAGAGTTTGTGAAGCGGGTGTTGAAGTGGAAGCTTTGGGGGAAAGGAGACAGGCTTGTCCTATGCAAAGGACTTTTTTCCAACTACTTGGTCTAATAAAAGATATTACGTCTACCCAAGCAATGTGGCCTGACCTTGCTCAATGGAGATTTTAACACTAAGATCAATAAATAACACGGAGCAGCACAAGAGTGCTACAGATCCAAGGGCTTTTTCTAAGCAGGGTGCTAAGAAATCATGCAAGTAAGCACAGTTCAAAAGTATACGGAGGGGCAATGGTACTCCTTCACCGGTAGAATAGCCAGGGCAGGGGCTCAGCTTTTCATGGGACCTACTCAGCACCTGTAAGCATCTGGTCCCATGAGACAGGCAGGGCATGAGCTCTTATTCCAATTTTACAGATGGGAAAACCCAGGCCTAGCAACTTGGAGAGAAGGCCGCCCCATTGCCAATGCTTCTGTGCATTATAGAGTCTGATGGCTAAATTAACTCCCAAGACTTAAGAGAAGGGCTTTAATGATAACCTTTATTTAATTCTGCATTCAAGAGGGACCCTAAGAAAACACTCCTCCATCTGATAGTGCACCAGTAGCATTGTATCCATTACTGTATGCACTCTATCTCCAACATGTGCCATATATCCTTATCCTCATCCATCTTCCACGTGTGTATTGATCCTTCTTAGTTTAGAAGTGCTGCTGGGATTACAGCTTAAGGGAGTTCTGCTGGCGTCTTATCACATTACCCCATGTCATACCTATCATCTTATGCATATTCTGAAATGAACTTATGAACCTTGAGAGGTTTATTGATCTCAGATGAGCACAGAAAAGCATTAAGAGAAGTGTGATTCATTCATGTCCATGCTGAGCTCACTGTTAGGAAGATCGATTCCTTATTCAGTTCTTTGTTCGTGGGCAAGAAGAGGTGGTTATCCTCTGGGACTGGAAATCCACTCACTTTGTGCTATTACTGCCATGAGATGAGCAACTCTGAGCAGTTAGTCATGTCCTGCACAATCATCATCTGAATAATAGCAAATATCAAGGAAAGTTTAAGTTAGATATTAGGAAAAACTTTCTCACGAGAAGGGAGGTGAAGCACTGGAGCAGGTTACCCAGAGAGGTGGTGCAGTCTCCATCCTTGGAGGTGTTTAAGACCCAGGTAGACAAAGCCCTGGCTGGGATGATGTAGTTGGGGCTGGTCCTGCTTGGAGCAGGGGTTGGACTAGATGTGACCTCCTAACATCCCTTCAACCCTCGTTTTCTAGGATTGTATAAAATGCTTTTTGGAAGAAGACTGCTTCCTCATTTAGTCTCAACACATTGTTTAACCAACCATTATAGCATTTTTTTTAAAGCACCTACCGAGTCTCTTTCTGTATTCAGACACACGAGGTATTTTCTCGAGGTAATGTTCTGAAAAGACAGCAGGAGGGAAATTTGCTAAGAGCTTTCAAATACCTGAAGGGTGCTTATAAATATGATGGAGATGGGCTTTTCTCTGTGGCTGTAGGGTACAGAACTGGGAGGAATGGCCTCAAACTGCAGCAGAGGAAACTGGAGATTAGGAAGATTTTTCCTTACTAGGAGGGTAGTTGAGCTACCTAGAGAAACTGTGGACTCTCCATCCTTGGAAATTTTCAGGAACAGTTTGGACAGACACTTGGCTGGGATGGTTTAGGCAGGGGGCTGAACTAGATGTCCTTGGGAGGTCCCTTCCAGCCCTACTTTCATGTGATGCTATGACACCCCTATTTGGTAAGATCTCTCTGGGAACAAAAAGAATAGACAGCAAATACAAATGCAGGACAAAACTCATCCAACCCAGTTTATTGCCAGGTGGCTGTTGGCTACAGCTCCTTCAGCTCCCAGAAAGCAAGGTCGTTTCATGCACCGGAGATGGCAATCCTAATGCAGTCGTGACAGCAGTATGTTTCCGAATTGCAGCTGATGGATCAATAAAACACTCGCCTCCTATAATGGTAGTGGCGCCTGCCTGTGGAAAAAGAAATAGAAACAGGTCAGCCAGGGTTCCTGCAAAGCCAACCTGCTCCCAGTGCTTTCTGAGTTAAGAGGAATGAAAATTAATTGAGCCATGTGAATATTTTAATCACAGGATGGATTGGTGTTCACACCACAATGCCAAGTCAAGTGTCTCCTGCGTGGAAATCCTTTCAAGGGTGCCATGGGGTATCGCACAATATTAGCACTGGTAGGCACCATACACCAGATCAATTTTATATAGGAATCCATAGTGTTCAAAGCATTCTGCTGTTGGGACCTTTCTGAGATCTTTGCAACAGCAGAATTGCTCTAGTATTTTCCCATAGTCAAAAAAAGAGGGAAAACTAAGAGATGGCATTTTCCGAGGGTGTCTTGAGTCTGAAAAAGTTGCCTTATGATATCAGTGTTTCTTCTAACTGCCTCCTACCGGTTGAGAAGAGCAATTGAGCGAAGGAAATTATCCCCACCCCCCGGTCTCCCCACATCAGCTATAGTAAAAGAGTTTAAAAGCACAGGCCCACGGCTGCGTATGCCTTTGCAGTGATCATCGTGCTGCAGGGTATGATCACTCCAGAGTCACCCAGATCCTCTTTAGCCAAAAGCCCAGAACCTTAGTGCCCGGATTAAAAATGAATCACAGATAATTGTCAGTAATAAAGGGCCTGCAACCTTCCAGCTCAGACGTTCGGACTCTTTCCAGCTCAGGGCAGACCTCACCCAGTAGCATCTCGTTAAGATAGTAGACCATAATGAAGTTTTACCTCCTCTCCTGCCTCTCCTCCTCCTGGCTCTCCCTCTTCCCTGCCTCCTGTGCCTCCCGTGCTCCCGAAAGTGGATGCTTCTTCTGCTGCGATGCCGGTGGTATCGTCTGTATCTCGCCATCTTCTCCTTTCAAGGTCTTGGCTGCTGGATTGCCACCTTTTGGTCACCTCTCTTGGTCATTGGGTGTTGGTCTTCACTGGGTGATGAGGTGAAGCATAGCTGGTCTGTATCTCAAGAGTCCATTGACTGTGACATGACATGTCAAGCTCAACGTAGGTCCGTGATGCATCACAATGGTCAGCCATTGCCATATATGGAAATAACAGTCACAGGCTTTCCCATTGCTATAGAAACTGTGTTGCAGTTGCACTTGATTGTATAACAATGGCCTCTTCCTCTGGCAGAATCCAACCATTCTCATGAGACACCAAAAGTTATAAAGTTGAGTTTGCATTGGGTGTTGTGTTGGAAGGTGGAGAAAGACACTCTGAAAATGAGGGCTAGCAATGCGGATAGGATAGGGGAGGTATGGCCAGGCCCTGAAAGCCCTTTCCTCATTGTCAGAGAATGAAAAGAACAATAATAGCAGAGAGGAAAAGGTGAGAGGCAGGAAGAACTGTAAGGAGGAATGTCAAAGCATTGCATTGGGAGGTGGCTATTTCTTATTAATATTTCTTAATTTCCTTGCATGTCCTAATTGACCTCCCATCAATGAACCAGGCTTGCTGTGTAGCAGTTACACTTTAATAAGATTAAACACCCCCAAAATATCAACAAATAATCCAATGCAATGGTTTTTTGTTATCCTCTGATAGCCTGAGGAATCTTAGGAAAATTGGGCTGGAAGGGACCTCATGATGTCACATCTAGTCCAGCCCCCTGCTCAAAGCAGGATCATCTCTGACTAAACCACCCCAGTCAAGTGTCTGTCTAACCTGCGTTTGAACTTTTCCGAGGATGAAGAGTGCACAGCGTCTCTAGGTGCCTGCTTCAAAGCTTGCCCACCCTCAGAGTCAGCAAGTGCCCCCCAATCTCACTGATGATGCCTGATGATGAAGTCAGAGGCTGGAGAAGTTACTGGCACTGACTTTAATACCTGATGTTCCTGTGATAACATGGCATGCCTGACAACTCAATGAGATAGTCCCTGTAGTACATAAAAGCCTAAGTCCTGTCATGTTTTCTGTAGGCCTTACAGCAAGGAAGAGTCCAGGGGAAATGGGATGATTTAGAGAAGGCTATTGAGACACATTTTACAGGAGTTTCTTCCAAATGCTAGAGGCAGAAGAGAGAAGGCACAAAGAGGCTTGTTGGAGAACCCAGCAAGGGGTCAGTGGAAGCAAAAGTTGAACTTCTGCGACTGTCGGAGAGATAGAGTGGAGGTGGTAGAAGACAGTATTGTTGCTGCAAAGAGCACGTGCTGTATGAGTAGGAAAAGGTACTGTGACTGATCAGGTAAATTTGGCTCTGTTCTTCTTCTATACAAGGTCCCAACTACAAAACCCAGGTTGTTAACTCACTTGGTCGAGCTCTGCTTGACCAAGGAGAGAGCCCTAAGGCCTATGCAGGCTGCTAAAACCTGGCTGAGACACCTAAAATTAATGCAACTTCCATTAGGGAAAGTCCTGCTCATCTTGTCTACCATGGGCCCAGCCATCATCCCTCTTCCAGGGATGTGGGAGGGTGAATCATGGGAGAACGCTCCCACGGTATTACACAGTCAAACCACTCACCTGGACAAGAGTTTATTGAAGGGATAAACCAATTTTAGTCAGGGACAGGATCTTCAGAGAGATTATTTCCTCCAGCTGGAGGAAGTTAAGAAACATCACAAGGAAAGATTTTGCATTTTTCTAGAAAACCCCATGTCTTCAAGTGAGTTGCAAAGATCTCCTCATCTCCCCCACTGTTATAGTCAAACTTAGAAAGACCATTGGCCTGGGGGAAGTCTTTTCTCCCGTACCTTCTAGACTTGGAGTGACTTTGTTAACATGGCCAAATCTGCACCAATCTGTACCAAATCTGCACACTTTGCTGTAAAAATGGGATGAGTGAGATCAGAGTGGGCTCTAGAGTCCGGGTGGTTGTATATTCCTATCTGTTGCTGCTATTCATATGGTTTCATTTAATATGTGGGTAATGGGATACACCATATGGGTCAGATTTGTCTCTTGCCGTATGCCTGCTAAGCCAATAAAGTTACATCAGGGATAATTTTGGCTGTGTTTTTGCAGTTTAGCCAG